GAAATTGATAAAATTACTTAACGAGAAGTTTCGAAATTTGTACGCTTCTTGTAAAACTGTAGAATAATTAAATGAAGAACCATAAGATGGACAGGATATGTACGAGTAGCATGCCAATTCAGTATTATTAATTAATAAGATAATGCAATTGGGGAGCCCTAAATGGAGACATTGCTCGTGAAATATAAATTACACATAGATGTAACGATAAAATTAACGCGTCTTAAATTATAAATTATAGTACAATGACATTTGGGTGAAGTGAGAGAGAAGCCACGCTAAATCCGAGACAAAATAACCACTTCATTGGCCGAGTCTCGAATCGTGAACCCCCTGAATAGAAATTAACATGCTTCGATGCTATGTACATGTGAAAATTTTTTGAAAATTCTTCTAAAAGTGAAATAATTTCGTCTCACTCCTTATTGTCAGCAATCACAAATTTACGCGCTTGACTCAACGAAATTGAACCTGAAATTAAGTTAAGAAACATGCCTTAACTTGGACATTAGCAAATAAATCTTCATATAAACATGGGTCCGATTTTCATTCTGTACAGCTTAGAATGCACTGAAATTACTTTTTCGAGGTCTGTTATAAAATATAATACAACCAGAAGATTTTGAGCGATTGCATTCATCTTATATAAACATAAGCATTTCCGAAAATAAATTAAATCACTTTTACTAAATCCTGTCAGGAATACGGATTTCTTGTCTCGTACAATTAATGTCAAACTAGCGCTGCGATTCAATCATCCCTTACCCCGTCTGCGTGTGACATCAGAAGCCCCAGCCGAGCTTAAAAATGTAGCGTCGTTATCAGCTCTTCATTTGAACTCCAAAAGCCGAAGCATGCAGTCTAAATTTTATATAATTTTCAATACATAGCTACTATTATGATTCACATCTAAGCAGAACAAATGGAAACGCGTTTGGTATGCATGTGGCTGTCGTCCAATGTTGTTTCGTGGTTGACAATACTGATTGGAGGTGTCACCAAACCGCGGCGCTACCATAGTATATTTTACTTTACAGACCACAATATCCACTATGATAATTTCAAAACACTGTTACATAATTTAAAGATCCGTCACGAGATGTCAGTAAGCACCGGCAGTATGCGATAAGTTGCGATCTGGTGTTAATTCTACGAATAACCTGAATAGATGTAAACGGATGTTTTACTTTGTGATTTCCTGTTAAAGTACTACATCCTTCCTCCACCTAATAGTCCTTTGTAACAATTTGATATTTCAGGTAAGACTCAGTTGAATAAGAACGGTAAGTTGCATTCGAATTTGAAATAATGTTTTCCAAAAGCGTTACAGTTTTTAAATACCAATTGCATCTAATAGGACTATTCAGCTTACGTTGCTTCTGCTAGGTCCACAATTCTGTTGTTGAAAAAGCTTCGGAAAACAATGTTTTCTGTAAACATGACCAGTTTTATGGAAGTCCATTTGTAGGTGGATTGAGACTTCATTCACATATGCATATTATTATTATTTATTTGACTGCAAATGGGTTTTTACCCGGTGGCAGTGGTCCTACAATAAGACACAAAACAATAAGACACAACAAAACAATGAGACAGAACAAAACAATAAGACACAAAAAAACATAAGACACAACAAAAACAATAAGACACAACATAACAATGAGATACAACAAAACAATGAGCCAGAACAAAACAATAAGATACAAAAAAAACATAAGACACAACAAAACAATGAGATACAACAAAACAACACACCACACTCAAAATAAAACAACTCATTAGATTACAAAACCATATAACCTAAAGTACATAACTTAAAAATTAATACCAACTAGACATAAGACAGTAACAGTAATGAATTACATATGTCATGAACTGATGCACTCACATTTCATCAGGACCTTCTCTGCACTTCACTACACTTATGAAGCCTTCTCATCCTCACCCCATTTTACCCCCCTTTACTGCACCCACCCATGTATTCCCTTCACTTCACCTCATTTATCACTTTTCTAACCTTCTTTCTAAAAGTACTTGGTTTACAGGAGAGAGTTCCTAAAACATCAGCAGGTACCTGGTTCCAGAGTTGGATGGTCCTATTTACAAAGGAATATTTCCCAATATCTGTTCTTTGCTTTCTGCTCCTAATTTTCCGAATATGATCGACCCTGCTCAGATAATATGGCCTTTGCAATCTGTCACCTATAGCCTTCCATGCCTGTTCTCCCATGTACGCTTTGAAGAGAGCACATATATGTTCTATCTTTCTACGCTGTGCCAGGGTTTCCCAGTTCAAATCGCTCCTATGATATGCAAATTTACATGCTTTCTTTTGCACCCGTTCTAACCCATTTATCTGCCCCTCCCTGTAAGGATCCTAGCACGCTGCCCCATATTCCAGAATCGGACGCACTAGTGACGTGTAGGCTAGACTTTTAGTGTTACTATTCCCCTTTTTGAGAACACGCATTGTAAAATGAAGTGCCTTCCAGGCTTCCTTCACCGTATAATTTACTAGATCAGCCCAGCTTAAATCGCTGCTTAAGAGTATTCCCAAGTATTTACAACTGCTCACTTCCGGAATTACTTGGTCTCGTAACGAATAGTTTAGTGGTTCCTTCACCCGACTTCTCGTGAAACTAACTGCTTTACTTTTACTTGGGTTAATATGGACATGCCTTTTAATAATGTCGACCTGATGTAGTAACGACTGAAAATATTCCTCATGATAGAATTGTTCAAATCACTCTGGAATCAGTGTCACTGAAATAATCGTACTTTACTGTTCTCCTACTAGCTTAATTTTGTTTGTTTTTTGTTAATATAGAAGGATTACATCAGCAATCTTACAAACGAACTATTTCAGCCATTTGTTATCAGACTTCCCTACCTTCAATGGCCTCAACTGACTCTGGATAACTTCGGAGGACATGGATTCCTATTCAAAAGTTGTTCTCTCTGATTCCCTCTGTACGCTCCTTCAGTTTGGCCCTAACCTTTTGAATCACTCTGTATATTGTTTACTGGGAGTGTAGTTAAGTAAATCCATATTTATGTCACCACAGATGACAAATTGAACTTTAAGATAAGATAATTTTCACTGTCTTTATTAAGTCAGTTGGTTGTAGTTACAGTTTCAGAAATCATTCTGTGGTCTTTTGTCAAACTTTTGTATGTATTTATATCCATCTTAACATTCTTTTGATTTCTCTGTTTGTATTTAAAACTATATCAGTATCTTTCATCTTTGCTATCCCCTAATCGGTTTATAAAGGTAATTTATGTCATCTAACTTGCTTAAGAATTGCTCAAAATTCCCCATGGGTGCTCTGTATATGGCTAAAACATATGGTGGAAAATTCAGATTACAGTTATGTGTATATGTATATCTTTTTCTATAGAGATGCATAGAATTTGTTTAAATTCTATACAGTTTTTGATAGAAATGACCACTGATATGTGAAGTTCCTTCTGAATTGAAAGGAACCAGATGTAACTACAAATTTGACCTATGCAACTGGAACCATAGAAGAGAAACATTTTTTTTCATATACCAGTAGTATGTGTATGTGTGTGTGCATGCACACATGTGTGTGTGTGCGTGTGTGTGTGAGAGAGAGAGAGAGAATATTTTCCTTTGAATAAAACTGGAACATGAATCTGATATACATTTTTTCTTGTCCTTTCATTCTTTGTTTCTTCCATTCTTTCTTTTTTCATATCTTTCCTTTATTCCTGCACCCTTTCTAAGGTATTAATGAACCATGTTTGGGGAACAACTGTTATAATGTATGTTAATGCCCTGTCTTTTTTCAGTATGTTGACTTTGTTTCCATTATACAATTCATTTAAAATTTCTTAAAGTCACCAATAGATAGAGTTCCTTATAAAATGAAATGCCAAACGTATAGTGAACATAATTGAAAGATTTAAATAAGTAAACTTTTAAAAAATGTATTATTTACAATAATCATCAGAAAATTATTATATGATAATTAGTACATGGTTTTAATGCTTTAGAATGGCTGCTAACATATACGATACGTATCGTAAAAGCTCAGGAATGCGAGATACACATAAAGAACAACGTCTTGGAACGGAACTCGTTCGTAAACCGAGAGTTGCCTTTACACAATTGGTTTACTATTAGAAATTATAATTTGCCTACATTCCATAGATCCTTCATTGTACAAGCTGAGGATGTGGAACATGTCATAGCATGAATGTGAACACTTAGCAGATTAAGTATCAGAACAAAATTATAAATGCATACTTATTACAGCTATTTGCATAAATATTTACAGTTTTAATACTTGTCAATTGAAATAAATTCTTCTACAGAGTAGAAGGAGTAAAGTAAAAGATAATCTTTCATTGCTGACCTAAGTCAGTTTATATCATGATTTAAACTTCTTGTGTTATCTGGAAGAGTCCTGTATAATTTGATCCCTGCATAATAAGCACATTTGTGATACATAGGGGTTAGCACTTGACTAATGGAGATCATGCTTATCCCATGTATTTATGCTAGGATTGTCAGAGTATTTTTGCAAGTTCTCCATGTTATCCACAACAAAAGACAGTAATGAAGAAAGTACTGTATACTTTTCAGTATTTTTGTTTTTATCAAATAGACTGAAAAAACATTGTTTTATGTAAATCCAAATCAAATTGTGACCACTAGTTATAAAGTACATAGAAATATCTGTGATGAAAACATATTTATCATTGACATATTTCTGGACCTAAATTTACCTCAGTCATTGTCAATATTAACCTATTTTATGGTTCAGTAAAGCAATTACAGATTTACATCAATTGAATGTTTATAATGCATATGTAATTTTTTAAGGGAACTTTCATGTTTCTGGTAAACCTTCAACAAATGGTTAAAAGTGAAGTGAGAATTATATCACTCATACTTATTTTTTTCCTCAAGATGGAGTACATTCCTTTGCAGCATAGACAATGACAATATTAAGTTTGCGATCAGACATTGTAGTTCAGTAGTTAGCTCAACTGCTTCATATTCGTGAAGTTCAGGGTTCAAATATTAGCTTAAAGACATGCTATCCTGACTGAGGTTTTTCATGGTTTTCATCATTCCCCCCAGGCAAATGCCAGGATAATACCTTAAATTTGGCCACAACTTTCCATATAATTTTCAATTCATTATTTACTTCCATCTTCTCATCTGACGCTGTATAGCCAGCACACACAAAGCTTTATTGAATAAGCCATAAATAAATAGGTTTTCAAAATTAGTAGTAGTTTGTGAGGGTTAGAAGGTAGAGTAGTAACCCTTTTACCGACTAGGCTATTGCTTCTATTACTCATGTTGATATTAATAACTAAACAGTTTACAGGTGGTACGTTGCCAGCAGTTTTGACGGGAAGGAACAACCAGTGGTAATGATAGGCAATTTGGTAACTGTTCTTTAAATGCTTTTGTGCAACATAAGACGAGGATTTCATAACATTTTTTTTAAATTGTGAAATAATTTTTTCTTTAACTTGAATGAAACTGGATTGTTTCTAACAATTTGCAATAACACGACGGACCATAACCTGGCGTTTTTCTTGGTCAACGAATGGTATCCCTGAAAGTGAGAGTTTAATGTATATCGTCTCTGTGGTAGCGTCGGTAAGTGTGTGAAGTTTGTATTGTAATCTAAGTTTTTTGGTTAGTTTACTGGGTTCAATTCGTTTTCTTTGGACTTACAAATTCAGGAAAGTATTATTGTAAGCCTATTTCATAAAAAATTGTGTTAATTTTCATGGTGAAGGGGTCGATCGTTCTTGTTGATCAACATTCCCAAAGTACAACCCAGACAACCATCAGCATTCCCAAAATGCACGAAACAGACATTGACTAGTGATCCTGAAGTATTTTCCTTTGTTCTGGCAGGTTCATATTTTGAACAGCGTTTGTAATGGACTGAGAATTAATATGTCAACAGTTAATCAGCTTTTTAATAATGTGTTCGGTATTCCGCACTTTGCACGTGGTTTGAGTGTTGCGTTAGGAAC